TTTTCCTCCATCGTTACCCAATGTTTCAAACATAAGGTTAAAAAAAAAATACTTAACAACTTGTTGAGGGAAAATTGTACTGTGCTTCTTGCAGTCAAATTCGGCCCAATTTAAGCGTTTTTATAGTCATCACAAAAGTTAACTGCGATTTGCTGGTTCGATCAATTAATGGACCTTTTAAACCTGCCCTTGCATGTGTACTGGGAGGTTTTTTGACGATTGGAAAAGAAAATAATCAAATAATGTTTGATGGCATGTTGAGCTATTCAAGTTGATATCGAATATTTTGCTGCAATAGGCACCAAACTCTCCTTGGCAAAGAATAATAATGAAACTAAATACCATAATATTGCTGATTTGAATGCGGCCAATATCGTATTTGCCAAGGCTAGGTGTAGACGGGCAAATAGGTTTTGACAAGAAGCACAAAATCAGTCAAGAAAAGCCCTGCAAAAAAGAAGGCCTCGACACCAAAGAAAGCCAGCGGAGCCAATAAGTCACCAAAGAAGCCCAAGGCCAAAGTGGCAAAGAAGCCTAAAGTAGCTGCTGGTAAGAAGGCATCAGCTGCTGGTAAGAGCAAACCCAAAAAGGCTGCCAGCAAAAAGACAGCAAAGTCACCGGCTGGGAAGAAAGTAAAGGCTGCAAAGTCAAAGAAGTAGATGGCATCAGTGGAGGAGGGCCATGATTCCCACTTACCACCTGGTTTACCATATAAGCAAACAGCTTTTTTAAAAGCTACCAAAAAGTCGGTCATCGGTTCTTGATTAGCCTTGACGGCTGCATTGATATCATGAAATTAAATGTAGAGTTTTCAAGGCTGGTGGGCCCACAGTCACCTGCATTTGTCACTTTTTTCTTTATGATGTACCTTCATCAAAATGATTTACAAAATAGGTAGCAGGATTTATCATTTCACCTAAAGTTATGTGCATAGTAAACTATTTTGAAAGCACAATTGCCACTGTACACTATCATAAAATTAGCAGAAGATACACATTTTTTCTGCAAAGTCTGGAGCAGCTCATATTTTTACAGTATTATTAGTAGCTTTTAAGAATGCCAATTGTAATAACAATTGCCAGTTTACATCCAAAGAAATTTCAAGACTAGTTTGACAGTATAGGTCCTTGATGTGCTATGTGACTATGATCAGCATAAAAAAGAATAAAGACAACACATGGATATATCACATATTTTTGGTGATGAAGTATGCAAGCTTCAATATTTACAAAGTCGATCTAAGGATTCATCATTTCATTATTAGTAAATTATATTGAGAACAAAGTTGAAAATACACAGTATCATGAAGGTAGCAGAAATCGAATTTATCATCTTATCTTACACTGTCTAGAGAAATTAAAACTGAAATAACAATTGCCCTCTTTGCAGCCAAACTTATATAAAGAATTGTTAGACAGAAGGGGTTCTTGATGGGTAATGACCTTAATCATAAGCATGTTGATTGAAGATTTAGTCTATTCTTGTGAAGCCAGCTTGTGGTTACCTGTTGGGTTGCTTTTGAAGAAAATTTTAAAGCTTACTTTTACAATCAGAGTTTATTTTATGAATGCAAGCAATATGTTCAGTGCCCTAAATTGCTGAAATTTTGAGGTTGATTGTGATATGAATCAAGTAGAGAGTATAGGAGTGTGTCATACAATGTAAACATTTAATGGTTGATGTAGCTAAGATTTCTATGATTGGCACACTGTAATAAAAATTGCCTGGAAATGAGCAAATGATACTTTATAACTAATGTTTTTCCCTTACACATGTTGAAATCCAATACTGACACTTGCAGTGGCTGAACATTTGGGGGCAAACCCACAATATATTGGGGTATTTTGGTAAGACTGAAAAAACCATATATTTGGTGACTAAAAAGATTGTCATGAAATAAATTTGCCAGCAGTTGTATAATAATCCCTAATGGTTTTTAAATTCAGAATAAGATAGAGTAAATGATATGTCATATTTATTGTGACCTCAACATTTTAAATACATACATATGTATTACATTGTGGGCTTAGCACAAATTGAAAATATTGTGCACATGATATAAATTGTATGCTCTTGAATTCAGTCTAGCACTATGAAAAAGTGATTCATTTTTCCCATTCTACAGAGTACATGACCAACTAACTACTGGTAGTTTGTGACAACGTAACTACCAGGAGATTAAATTATTTGTAAATGTAAATTATTTGTAAGTAAACTACTAATGTAATTTATTTGCATGTACCAATGTAACTTAATATTACATGTTAGTTTTAAAAGTACATGTAGATATGAACTGAACTGATCTGAGTCGACCATGTCGTGTGTATTATGGTTGGGGAAATATAATCTCTGGTTTCTATGGTGGTTTTTAAAAAAACCGTTTTTTTCAAAGAATTCATCGACAACGATGAAATTTGCTTGTTAAATTAAGCTCTCTCTCCACGAATCCTTCTGGCCAGTTGTATGTCCTTTGGCATAATGGTAACACGTTTGGCATGAATGGCGCACAAGTTGGTGTCTTCAAACAGTCCCAACTAGGTAAGCTTCAGATGCCTCTTGGAGGGCCATCACCGCCGAGCTCTGAAAGCGCAGATCTGTCTTGAAGTCTTGGGCAATTTCTCGGACGAGTCTTTGGAAGGGCAGTTTCCTGATCAACAACTCGGTCGACTTCTGGTATCTACGAATTTCTCTCAGAGCAACTGTTCCGGGCCTGTATCTGTGTGGCTTCTTTACACCTCCAGTTGCTGGGGCACTCTTTCGTGCAGCCTTGGTGGCCAGTTGTTTGCGAGGAGCTTTTCCTCCAGTTGATTTCCTTGCAGTTTGCTTTGTACGAGCCATTTTGACACTACGAAGAAATTTCAATAAGGGCGAACGAAATAAGGTGACTGAGCGATGACGGTACTACCTTCCAGCTAGGAACAACGAATCGATCTGCGAATCGGCGCCATTTGAGGTCAATTTGAAATGTTTGAGCAAGCCACGTGACATGCCGGGAGAAGCGAAATGACAAAGAATGCATCGCCCATTGGCTGCTTTATTATCCCAAGTTTCGAGCGAGCTGCAATTGCATCTTCTGAACAAGATTAATACCATTTCTTAAAACTAAAGGGAAGCAGAAAAAGCAAATTCAAAGGGATTCAAGCAATTGCAAATTCCTGTCTCTTTGACTTGGGGAGGTTTGTTATCCTGGTTGATGGCAACAATAGCAAGAGTTTACGTAAATAATGTTTGTTTTTAGTGGCTGTTTTCCAGTTCTCTTTGGCAGTCAGTCAAATAAAACACTGAATTGACATATTTCAAGAGGCAAATTGTCTTGTAAGTGTACCTTCCCTCGCCTTCTCTGCTAGGACATAGTTTGCTTATGCAGTAAAGGCGCCATCAAGAAAGATGGCAGTATAAAGAGAGTGCTCCTATTAGGTCCGCAGTTGCTCCTGTATGTATTTGCCGGTTGAGTCAGATTGAAATCAGTCGCCTCGTGCATTGTCGCTCGCTGTCGTACAATACAACTTTCAACAATCATGTCTGGAAGAGGAAAAGGAGGAAAGGGTCTTGGCAAAGGAGGTGCTAAACGTCATCGAAAGATTCTTCGTGACAACATTCAAGGCATCACCAAGCCAGCCATTCGCCGATTGGCTCGTCGTGGAGGAGTAAAGAGAATCTCTGGCCTCATTTACGAAGAGACACGAGGTGTTCTCAAGGTTTTCCTCGAGAACGTCATTCGCGATGCAGTCACATACACAGAACATGCCAAGCGAAAGACTGTCACTGCCATGGATGTCGTCTACGCTTTGAAGAGACAGGGTCGAACACTGTACGGATTTGGCGGTTAAGTTGCGTCGTCCTGTTTACAGGATAGACAACTGGAGTGACTCGTCCTCACCAACAACACAAACAGCTTTTTTAAAAGCTACCAAAAATGCCAAAGTTGCCCAATGTTTTAAGCCTTGTGACAGCACACGATTAACAGCGAGTCATAATTGAATGTACTGAATCAATAAATTAATATCCCACTAAATAAATCGACCGGTATAATGTCAAGTCGCACAAAAATGCACTGAAGTCCAACAGGAATATGTTTACTAAATAATAATAGGACTTTGTAAAATTCTATTGATGCAGCTAGCTCAATCAAGTTGATTTTTGAAAGAGCATGCCAACAAACTCATCTCCAAATTAATAATAATAAGTCTACAAGATGTCCTCACCAGAAAGGTAGGCTCCAAACATCTCCATTTCATGAACACAAATAAATGATAAACCCCTCGTTGACTTGACACACACAGTAGTAATGTGCATATCCCTCTCATGATTGTTGTGTTTGTGGATCATTGACAAATGTTGACATATGAGATACATTATCATCATTATAAAACCAAGCAAAAGATTCATACATCTTCACCTTACTACCATCAACAAATAGCCCAGCCCTTTGGTCAATTCAGTTTTAATGACCATCAGCAAGAAATATAACCAGGAAGATTACCAACAGGCCAAGAAAAGAATTCCAATTCTGTCTATTCTTTTTTATTTTCAACTTTGATTATTTGCCCTTAAATAAAAGTTGTTTCACCTTGATCAATTGAAGAAAATAATTCCTTTTCTGTCTATTCTTTTTCATTTTCAACCATAATTATTTGCCCCTAAATAAAAGTTGTTCCACCTTGATCAATTGTAAAATTAATTCCTTTTCTGTCTATTCTTTTTTTATTTTCAACTATAATTATTTGCCCTTAAATAACAGTTGTTTCACCTTGATCAATTGAAGAAAATAATTCCTTTTCTGTCTATTC